TATATATATATATATATATATATATATATATATATATATATATATATATATATATATATATATCGTTCCTTAGCTACAATAAATTTGCTAAGGGATGGCAAAAATGGTCCTTTAACTATACCTTTTGTTGCAGTTTGGGATTGGTTTTTCTATATCGACTTAATTGTCTTCGTACACATGTGTTAGTCCTATCTGACTTTCGCCGTCTCTCTGTAAGCCAATCAAATTAAGATCGGTGTCATTCTTCTTCACCGCCCTCTGGGTTACTTTAGTTTGCTCTCAGATTTTACTTCCCGATGTTTCCACCACCGCTCACTTTATCCTCCCCAAATCGAGTCTCCTCCCTTCTTCTCCACATTTTCCCTTCAAATCCTCATGAAAACCATCTGAGCCGGTGAGATTCTGATAAGTGTCTAGGCATATACACAAGGCCACCTCCATGGCCGGATCCATCACAGATGAGATACATGAAATGGACATATTCCTTGTTGTCATTAAACCTTGAATGGAGATCCACATACTAGAGCCCACGATCTCATTTAACTGCTTTTTAGTTTTTAATGCAATTTTCCATTACTACGTTAGTTCCATTAGTCCCACAATTCCATGTTCCTAATTTTTAGCTAGCATTTTCTTTTGTTATATAAATAGGTTTATGTTGCATTTAAAGAGAGGAGACGAATTATTATAAAAGTATCTTTGTTTATGTTTATTATTTCTTTGGGAGATTAGCCATCTCGAATCGGCCTGGAGATTGACCATCTCGAATCGGTCTCTATCAGATTCCCCACTTCTTCTGCTCTTCAGTCCGTCGTCTGATATTCCCCGCTTCTCTCATTCCCCTTCTTCCAGCCGAACATTACCTGATCAGGCTACCGTTCATCGGATTACTACACGGGTTACTTTCGGATCCTTCTACTCTGCTGCTCCAAATTCCCACCGCTCACCTCAACATAGTTAACAATCGCATCATCTGCGTGTATCTACCAATACCTTCACCGGGAATATCGCCACGTGCCTACGAGGATTTGAATTGAAGAAAGTTACGGTTTCTTGCTTTCACTCTACACTTTCTCCACTGCGGCCATCTTCATGTCTCCTTCGCTTCATCTACTTTTTGGATTCGACTTCCCAACCAGCTGCAACCATCGATTTAGGTATTATTGTTCCAGGTATGTAACCGATTTGAACTATTTTTTGATTTAAATATGTTTCAAAAATCAGAACCGATGACGGGCTAGAAGCTTATTGAACATAGGAAAAGAAGATTGAGGGTATTTGGTTGGAATGGACCGAAGAACAAAGTGTTTGCTTAAATGTCTGAATGAAAAAACAAAAGTTAAAGTGTCCTTCAGTTTGATTCCATCTGATTCCTTTTCTTTGATTTTTTGCTGCGTCATAGGTTCGATTTGGTTGCGAGGAGGGAGCAACGGCCTATGGAGCCGGTAGAGAATCCCAGCAAGAGTTTTTCCGATCTGCAGTTTCATCAGAGGTAAATCAACCTGGTTTTCCTTTCCTCATAAATCGAACCCTACTCTACTGTCCTTTCTTTTTTCTTCTATTTTTCAGTGAATCCTTTCTCATCAACAACGTCTCCACCTGTTAAAATGATAAATGAAGAACCGATGGCAAACAGAACCAAAAAGCATATGAAACCCCAGATGTTGTAGTTGGGATTTTCTTTGGAAATGCTTCGGGTATCTCTGGCTCTTGAGCAACTTAAAACATATGCAGATTGCAGTAAGTATTCCCTAAATTCCGATTCAAATTTCAGAAATTCTACACGAAGTCGGCTTTGTTTGCCATTGTTCTTTATTATTCACCCTGCAAATAGAGTCTTTCCTTTTCGTATTAGGTTGAATTTTGTTGTTATTACTCTCAGTTTTAAGGTTTTGCTGAATTTCAGTTTGGGTTTGGTGTAATCATACAGATATACTGTTGATTTTAAAGCTAGAAAATTATCACTGTTGCTATGTTTCATAATTGAATAAATAATTTTTTGATTATTTCTTATAACTAAGCTTACTGTCTTCTGTTTTTGATATATTAACGGGATGTAAAACACTAAACTATTACTATGGTTGCGGACTTATTGCGACCTACTTATCAAGACTACAAGTTTCGATATATTGAAAAATATATTCTTTTACTAATTTTTTAAAACTTTTTGTTACTCCTTCAATCAGGATGTGGCGGTTAAAGTTTATTTTGGTAATCAATATAGTGAGAACGCTTTGCAGGACTACAATAAAGAGGTATAACCACTTTTACTTTTTTTTTTTCAATCAAACAATAAAATATATCATTTAGATATGAACTATAATGAATTGAGCTTTTAACTTCAGATTGGTATAATGAAGAGACTACGTCATCCAAATGTGTTACTTTTTATGGGATCTATATGTCGTCCACAAGATAAACTTGCCATCGTCATAGAATAATTATCCAGGTAATTATTTAAAAGATCTTTACAAAACTATAATATGACATCATGTTAGCAAATAAATGCATAATTAGTTTATAATAAATCCAACAGGTATTGACATTAGATTACCATGGTTTCTTATTAAGTATAATATAATTTTATAGTCTTGAATCTTTTTGCAAATGGAGATAGAATTGAATTAGATAAAGCGTTAAAGAGACCTTGCAGAATCACAGCTAGAAATAGGGCAGTTGCTTCAGATAGATTTGTGAAGGTCCAAACCGAGATTTGAACCCCGACTTTTTATTTTATTTTTTTATTTCCCACCTGACTTATCTCCTTAATTGCAAGTTATCCCCTATATTTGTCTTATTTTTGTTTGTTGTGTTTGTTGTCTCTTTACAGCATAACAAATTAGATTTTCATCCTCTTTATCCCATTTTATTCTTAAAAATATTTTCATGACGTCACAGATATGCTTATCAGCCTATTGATGTTTTGTTGTAAAGGTCCAACTTTAATGTTCTTTTAGTAAAAAAAATCGTGATTATAACATTTTTTTGTCCAAAATGCCCCTGCATACTGTTTTTTTGATAAAAAAAATGATTTTAACACTGCTATGGTGAAGGCAACCCAAAAGGACCATGCTCATAATCGGGTCAAGTACATACCAAAATAGTTATGG